AAAGATATTGACCTATCACAGAAAGAATTACGGACTGAAGAAACAAAAAGTATCTTGTATCCAATCCAGTAAGGAGCCAATGGAAAGTATGACAGATTTAAATAAGGCGGAACCAAAGTTTCTCCCGGAAGCTCACATGAATGTTGAGTCCAACTTCCTGAGGAAGTCGGATGAGCAATTTGATATGGGGACATTTGAGCAACAAGTTGATTATGACGGAAATCAATCAGATGGATTAGACACTTACGATGTTGGCCTTGATACTCAACTGGCTGCTGAAGCTATGGAAACTCTACTACACGCCCCTCCTTTGAAAAGTGATGTGCTTTGGGCCCCTCCTGTTCCAAAAACCAGCCTAGTTAAGGAAGGGGAATATCCTGAGATCGCTATCTCAAGAGCGTTTAACATCGATGATAGTTCACCAGAACCTACTTTATGTAGCTCAGCTGAAGTAGAGGTGTCTTCTGTTGTTCATAGAACTAGGCATCAAGTTTCTTTAAATCTGAGGAGCTTGGAGAACCCAACAATCAATTCCATCACAGAGTCTAATTTTCCAAAGAAAAGAAGGAAGCAACATGAGCTTGGAGAGTTAAATGACAATTTGTTCAAAGTGGCTGCTGTAAGAGGGAAAAATTCCAAATCAAGTACTAACACATCAAGGAAAGCTAGAAAAGTTTGCATGAATAATCGAGGAGAAATTTGCCAAAGTGTAGCAGCCACATTGAGTCAAGTGAAATTGGAAAATTGGGTCTCTAAGGGGAAAAGGACACATAAAGGGGTGCGACGGCTTTCAAATGGATCAAGCAATCTCTATCCTCTACTGATGCCTGCTGATCAGGGAAATGACTTTAAGTTTCCAGTTTTGAATCATAAGGCAGAGAGAAAATGCCAACCCGTGGAATTTAAAAGACAGAATCAGTCTTTAGAAAAGACCCAGTCAAGACTCTTGTCAATTCAGACCGCAAGTAAACCTTATTCCTCAATTTGTAAATATTCAGTCACAAGTCAGAAGATGATACCCATGGACTTCAAAAGAGTTGAATCTACTGAGTCTGCCAAATTAAATGATATGACCTCTATATCCACTAATCTTTTGACAAAAGAAATGAAATCTGACGTATTTTCAAATGGAATCTCAGATCCATCATACTGTCTTAATGATCACAAGAAAGGCAAGCAACACATGAGAAGTCTCTCCAGATCACCCCTTTCTCAAGAGCTTATTAGATTAGGCTATGCAGAGCAATTACCTGATTTTCTGCCTAGAGGTTCACGACGACGAAAAGGTGCAGGTGGCATTTGTGTCTTGTTCAGCCAGGGCTTGGATAGCAAATTAATCAAGCAGCAGAAAAAGGTACTGTTCCCCATTATCTGAGATATCTTCGACCTTAAATTGAACAAGTGTTGGACAATGATTTACAGTTTTCCTAATTTCCCTTAAATGCAGGTTTTGGCAAGACTCGGATATAGCTCCACGTCAAATTGTTCTGATGCCACACACTTCGTCACTGACAGCTTTGTTAGAACAAAGAATATGCTAGAAGCCATTGCCTGTGGAAAACCAATTGTAACACATTTGTGGCTTGAGAGCTGTGGAAGAGCAAGCTGTTTTGTTGATGAGAAAAGTTATATCTTAAGAGATGCCAAAAAGGAAAAGGAACTTGGTTTTAGTATGCCTGCTTCACTTGCTCATGCTAGAAAGCATCCCCTTCTAGAGGTATGTGTGTATACTTGTGTAACCATCTGACCTAAAGGCTTAAGTTGCTTGAGAGAGTACACTTTTAGTTACTTATAGAGGAATATTCAGCCTATCATAAAGTTCATTTTTTTGTCTGAATTAACAGGGTCGAAGCATCATTATTACTCCAAATGCAAAACCTAATAGAGATACCCTTCTAGCCTTGGTCAATGCAGTGCGTGGTGAGGTACACAACCATGGCATTGATTTGACTTTTTTTTACTCTGTTTTAGTTTCAACTCTTGACGTGTGACTGATGTGCATGGCGAAAAAATCAACCAAGTTTGTAAATTGCTGTTTTAAATGTATTATTAAAATATTTAATAACAAATGTCTTTCAGTTAAGGATCTTTCTTTTCCTTTTTTATCTTATCAGGTGGTGGACGAATCTAATAGTAAAATCACTGGTGATGATCTATTAATTCTTTCCTGCGAAGAAGATTACAAAGCATGCATTCCATATCTGGAAAGGGGTATGATTTCATTTCTTTCTTTTTGCCCTTCTGGCAATTGCTTTCTTGTGACTAATGGCAACAAGTATCACTATTGTAGGAACTCTTGTTTATAGTTCGGAGCTCTTGCTTAATGGGATTGTTATCCAGAAACTGGAGTACAATAGGTATGTATTTCTAAAAGAAAACGACATTGTCCATCTGTTCTCTCTTTAATGTCAAAATTACCAGTGTTTGGTGTTCTTCAATTATGGGCAGCAAATAAATATTTTGCATAACCAGGTGATTTTGCTAAATCCTATTCATTTGTGACTAAAATTTGGCCCTTTTAACATATGTGCATGAAATGCAACTTGCTTTATGTTTGTTAAGTGGCTGAAATGTCTGAATTCTTGGTGTTGAGCAAGTGATCATGTCATGAATTTTTTGTGAAAATTTGCACAAATATGATACTTCGTGGCTGATGTTTAAGTAATCTTTGCAAAAATGGCCCCGGTGCTACAACACAAGCATGTCCTACAATTTGATAAGACCTATGAACAATTTAACAAAATAGGAGAATGAAGATTGTACTAAAGTTATGACGCCCTTATCCTACAATCTGATAAGAAGTGTGATCTTTATTGTTCGGGCATGAAATGATCCTATTTCTGCAAACCACCCTACTTTTGTTTTCTATTGGAAGTGATTCTGAACTTTCTAATTTGCACTAGCAACACCAATGCAAAAGATTGTTATATCACTACATTTGGAATCAAGAACTTTTAAACTAAACCACCCGCTTAAATTTAGCATGTACCAACCTATAGTTAAAGTGATTGTACATTTGGACGCTGTTGTTCTAGGATCATTTTGAGTCACCTGCTTTTTATTTGGCTTTTTGTACCATCTATATGAGAATGCCTAACTAGCTGATTAACATTAATGTTGTTTCAAGTACAGGCATCAGCTTTTCACAAAGTTTCATGACGAAAACTGCAAAGAATGAAAATCTGTCCAGCTTTTTCACGAAGAAAGCTTCGTGCCCAACTGCTTGTGTATCGATTAAAAAACGCTACTAGTGCAAGTAACAGATGATGATATCCTTGTGTTACCAGATACTCGAAGTTTTAGCTGGACAGAGGTATTGTATCATATTGGTATAGTAACTAAGTTTTCATAGTTTGTCCAGAAAAGGTTGTCTGTTATCTATTCCCATGTAAATTCACTTGGTTTGCTAATTTTTGAACAAATGTAAATTCTCAATGTTCTTTTCTGTTTTGGATTTGTTTAGAAAACAACTATGGAAATATTTTACTAAGGAAAATGATCCAACTCAAAACATCTCAGAATAAAGAATATATATACTAAAACCTTACTAAATTAATATAGGTGGATCATAAAATATTATTATTTTATAGAGATATTATTTAATCGATAATTAATATTTATTAATTTAAAGAGTGTTTCGATACTACAAAATTCGTTCGGGATGAAATCTCAGAGATTTTAAATGAACCCACTTGTGAAAAAATCATTCATGAACTTGATGTCATGATTAATGATCTTAGTTATCGCAATAAAAAGGATGTTAATAACCCGTTGGATGGGTAAAAATGATACATGTTTAGGGGTTCAAAACTTAGAAAAAATTATGGATACCATTGAAAAAATAATGTTGATGATAAAGTTGAAAATGATACAATAGTAAGGAAACACTTATATTAGAACTCTTTATAATTTTATGGTGCAGATTTAAAAGACCACCAAAACCTTTGGATGCAATAAGAAAAGTTATTAATGAGCTTCAACTATATTTAAATTTTAACAAAAAACAGAACACAATAGAATCATATTTGACTAAATTGTCTTAGATATATTTGTACTTCTGAAAATATATTATCTTGTCTTATCGAAATGAGTTTTTTCCATTGGCCAAGTTGGGACCGAATTCTTAGAGAGGTTATGAGTAGTAATTTAGTAAGGTCTTACTGTACTCTCATCTGTAGAATTGGATTAAAAAACAATTTAAGTTATTTTTACTTTATGGTGTAAATAATTTGTAACACTATCAATGCATTTTAACTTTCTATAGAAGGTTGCTTCATCTTTCTAAAACATTTGTATAGAGAATACATACATTTATCTTTTAAATAATTAATTAGTGTATCATAGAACATATACTTTTATAAAAACAAGAAAATTAGCCCAATTAAGCTCTACTTATGTTATTTTTCATGTCTTTTTATAAGGTAGTGTCGCTAATAGTAAAAAGAAAATGTTGGAATTAAAACTAATTAAATATATAAACGTATCATTCTTTTAAAATTAATCTTAAAAGAATAAAAAAAAATAAGATACATCAATTGAAATGAAAGTAGAATATAATAGTACTATACAATTTATTTATTTTCTTAAAAAAAAAAAGACATTTTAAACTACGTATTAGTCTAACAAATCCCACAATAAAAATCATCCTAATTTTTATTTTTTTAACCAGTATATAAACATTGATTATATCCTAAGCATACACCGATAACAACTACAAACTATTATGGCTGAGTGATCAGTAGCGAAATTAGAAATTTTGTCGAGGCTGTTCAAAACTTAAGTATATATCTCTAAATAGTTATTTTTTATCTATATATGTAGCATTCGATAAAGGATGTTTAAGTGATTACCCTGGTATTACGCCCGGCGCCCGTGAGTGTATGGATTTTTTTAGCTGGCTGACTAAAAATGTTAAAATCCTTAAAGCCCATGGATGTTCAAAATTCAGAAGCTCAATTGATTATGGGCCCGGCCTGCTCCATTTTTCTCTCTTTTATCCCTCAACAAAGTCGATTGGAACAACAATCAGACTCTCTCGGTTACATACTAGCTCCTCCTCCTCCTTCTCCGGCGATCTTCTCCGGCGATCTCTGAATTTAAGTGTGTAAGTTCATGAGTTTTCTCCAACTTAAATTTCCAATTTTTATGCATAAAACAAAACCTAATTCGCTTTTGGATGGATTGATATTAGTATATTACTAATAATTTGGGATTTAAGTTGAATTCTCTTTGTATTTGCTCCAATTGCATTAGTTAAGTGTCTATTCCGGATTTTGATTTCTCATTCAGAATTTGCTTCTCCTGTGATGAAAGTGTCAATTCCGAATTTTGATTTGTATTCAGATTTTGCTTCTCCTGTGATAAAAGAACCTGAATTGAATAGCTTGTTGGGCAGAGTTACCTGTGGCATGTGGGAGATGTGAGGTATCTGTAAATTAGTTTGAGGTGCGGGAAAGTTGGCACCAACACCGCTGCTATTAAAAAAATTTGAATTGAGTAGCTTGGTATACAGGTACCTGATAGGCTGATACCTATTGACTATTGCTGGTGTGAGGTAGAAGGTATGGGAAATATGGCCCGTACACCACAATTATTAAAGAAAAATCTGAATTGAGCTATGTTGCTCTGTCTCTTCAAAAATGTTAAGTTGGATCCTCCAAAAATAGTGATCTGACATGGTGTGGCAACATTTTTGGAGAGTCAGAGCAACTTAGGAATTGAGTAGCTTGGTGGATAGAGTTACATGATACATGTTGATGGTGGGAGGTGACAGGTATCCCGTGGAATTAGTTTGAGGTGCATGATAGCTGGCCACTCCACGGTTATTAAAAAAAGGAGTCTGAATTGAAGGGAATGGATACATATGATTCATACATCAGATTTTAATCAGTTCAGGATTGAAGTGTCGTTAATTGATGATTTGCTTTCCCTGTGGTGATGACCTTAAACTCCTCAGGACCCTCCTTTGTGTCTTTTGAATTCTTCCAAAGGCATTTGGATTTCCTATTCCTATTCGTAGTTTCCGCTAGATTGGGAGAAATTGATTATTTTTCTGATTTTGACAGGAGGAAATTCCATGGCTCCAAAAAAGAAAAAGAAACAGAGCAATAACGCTGCTGAATCTAGTTCTAAAAGTACAGTTGCTGAAAAAAAAACTCCCCAAGCACTGAAGGGTAAACGTAAACTTGTAAAAAAGTTCTCTCACATAAACTCTGCACAATCCAAAGAAGCTGAGATTAGTTCACAAATGCAAGCCAGAAACAAACACAAGAAGGCAAAAAATGGCAACAAAGGAAATCATGTTGGTGAAAAAGATGCTAGCAAGTCTGAAAATATTAATAAAGGAAACAATGAACTGGATATGAGTGAAAGATGTGGAGAGATGAGTAAGTATGAAAAAACTCAAAAGAGCCTTGATCTAAATGAAGGACGGGGAGAGGTAAATAAGGATGCAAAAACTTTGAATAGTCTTGGTGGAGTAATTTTCATGTGCAATGCCAGAACGAAAGAAGATTGTTTCAGATATCGTGTGATGGGTGTTTCGGCAAGCAAACAACACTTTGTAATGGGAATCAAACCTGGTCTTAAGCTTTTCCTCTTTGATTTCGATCTTAAGCTCATGTATGGTATCTATGAGGCATCTTCTGCTGGTGGAATGAGACTTCAACCAGCAGCATTCGGTGGGGCGTTCCCTGCTCAGGTCAAATATGCTGTCCTTATTTTATGAATTTCATCTTCTTCCTGTTTGTGAGGTGTTTATATTGATGGTTGGTCATCCAACAGGTACCTTTTAGGATTCACAAGGACTGTATTCCACTACCAGAGAATGTGTTCAAGAAAGCAATTAAAGACAATTATGATGAAAAGACACGCAAGTTTAAGACTGAGCTGACTGTTATGCAGGTACCAAATGACCTCCCTAATTAGTAAGTTATTCACTGTTTTCCGAAAATCTGAATTTAATATCTTTGAGCAGGTGGAGAAGTTAACAGAGCTGTTTAGACCTGCACTATGTATGGATCCAACTCTCAAACCAGTACTACAGGATGCTGTGGCTCAGCCAGTTATTCAGCGCTCAGCAGCACCACCTTTATCTGGCTATGAACCTGTCAGGGAGCATGTATATGGAGCTCAATACGGCAGTAGTAAAGCAGGTCAGAATTTCTCACCACGTGATCATGGAAGGCAGCAGTTTGTGGACCATCATGTCATGCCTAGAGAGGTTGCCCGTAATCCGCATTTTCTTACTGAGAAAGAATACAGAAGCTATGGTCTTCAACAGGCAAAACATCTGCATCCCTGTACTTCTGCAGTACATGTGACCCACAAATTGGATCATTATGGATCAAAACAAGGAATACAGCAGCTACTGAGGGCCCCTGCTGGTGTGAGAAGTGATGCAGCTTTTGCACGGAATGAACATGTTTACTCTGATGCTCGTTTTCCAAATGAAAGGGAATACCGTAGTTACGGCCTCAATAGTCTCCATGGGAGACCTGGTACTGTTACTCCTGCTGCAGAAAGTAGTAATACAATGTCTGCAGCTGCCAATCATAGTTTACTAAAAAATGTAAATCCTTACGACGAGGATACCACCTCACTTGTGAACCGGTATCTTTCTCTTCCACGGACAATGATAACACCTGGAGAGTTGCCTTTGACAGGCAGAGAGTCATTTGCTAGTGCTTCCAACTATGTGAGTGACATCAGAGGCCAGCCAGGAAGATTGTCTGCTGAAAATGTAAGATTTTATGCACCAATTACTCCTTATGCACTATCAGGTTATGGCCACATATATCAGCATCCTAGAGATGAGCCTGGAAGATCATCGTCAGTCTTACCTCAGTATCCTTTTGCTGGCCCACCTGCATCACGTCGCTGAAACTGCGCTGCAAAGTATATCCATTCCTGTATGATGTCCATTGTGGCTCCAATGGATTCCAGAATCTAAAAAATTACTCTATTTTATTTCACATTTCCTTCCTGTACATGTTGGAAAATAATCCTGATGGTTTTGCGGGATGCTTCGGCCTCAGTTCTTCAGACAGCTTGATGTTTGTTCATACCTATAGTAAGGTCCTGCTGAAATCTGCGACTATGATGGGCAGTGTTGTGTGCCGATGCTACAGCTGCTTAGTTTGTGAAAGGTCTACCCAGGAAAGTCGAATCCTAACTATGAATCACATTAGCAAGACGGATCTTGGCCTAACTCCAGTAATCTCTCGTTTGTCTGAGACCATCAGATGACACCCCATGTGATAGAGATGCATCTCACGCCCATCGTGGAAGAGGTGCATCTCCATCTAAATGACAATGATGAGCCAAGACATCGATCTTTGGTTCAAGTTTTCCTGTTTTATTTTTTTATTTATCGGTTTCCTATGTACAATATTTTCTGTTTCTACTAGATTATCTGATGTTTCCGCAAGATAAAGTTGATGCATCCCCAAAGGCAATGTTTGCCTGAACACAGAACTGTGATAGTGTAGCTTTTATAGGAAGGATTGATGCCTCCGTTGTTGAACTGCTCAAGGAGTAGACTAAAAAAAAGTTCATGTTGGTGCCATTCCATTGCAAGTTTTTTTCGTTTATTGCTACTTATTTGTGAATAGTACAATAGGGTGCTAACTTTTACGGTTTTTTTCTACAAAGAAACTACTAGTAATGCTACGCCGAGGCAAGAAGTGTATTACACTCGTTATCGTTATGTCATGTAGCGGAAAGTGTGTTAAATACCATGACTAGCGATTTACTTTGGAGAATTACAACTTTTTGCGAATAGTTCAACAGGGTACAGACATTTTTATAAAACTTTAATGAAAATAAATTTTCAACAAAAAAAGCTACTAGTAATGTAACATTGAAAAGTGTAAGACGCTCAACATGTCATGACAATTGTGCTGAGATTATTTCTCATTGAGTGATGATTGACTTGTTGTATTCACAATAATATGCATTGCATAAATTTTATGAAGTTATTTATTTACAAAAAATACACTTCATGAATGTGAAAAGTGATACGATCCAACTATCTCTTGTACCCCTAATTGGCGCTGAGGAGTCTTCGTCTTGGCATCCATCGCCACTCCCATGCTGGTAAGAAAAGGGTCAACCCGGTGGCTGAAAGCGATGATAGGATGTTAGGTCTAGTAAGGAGACTTTTTGGATAGTATAAAAAAAGGTTAAAGTAACAACTATCATTTACCTATTTTATCTCGGAATAATTATCCCAAGATTTACTATACCACCCAAAGGAGAAGGATAACTTATCTAATTACTAATTATTAATTCTGGGATAAGTTATCTCGGACTTGCCAACCAAACAACAAATTAAATGACATTATAATTTAATCCCAGGACTAATTGATGTTATCCTTCACGCCAAACAACCCCTAAGGGGTTGTCTATATGGCTTTAGACTTTAAAATAGTTTCACTGAACTAAATAAATACCATAGAAGCATTTCTCAAAGGTACAATCAATGTTGCTAGCCAAAACCTTCCCTGAGTAAATGAATTTGTCTCTCTTACCTGACCAGTTTACCTTACATCTAACCATATCATGGACTTCTAGCACTTAACATCACAACATAGAAAATAAAACACGTTGAAATCAGATTAAGAATAGCTTCAGGACAGTAGCATCTGGATTTTCTGTACATAGACCGGCCTATTGATTAGAGTCGGCAGCTTGAGCGTTGATACTGGAATTATCACCTCCTCCGTTTGTTGGCACAGTGGTACTTCCTTGATACACGGGAGGTGGTGCAAACATTGGAGGGCCGCCAGTAGGAGCAGGCATTCCCATACTTCCTGGAACTGCACTTGGTGGACCGACAGGTCTTTGCATATTATTGACTTGACCAGGCATAGGAGCACCGGGAGGTGCCAACATCTGAGGCATTGGTGGAGGTGCATAACCTGGAACCATTGAAAGACACTCTAGTTTTTAAAGGTCTATTATCCAGATAGGGAAAACTTCTCAAGGCAACATCAACATGCAAACTTCCAAAAACTACAGCATGACACGATTTCTCTCTAGCATTCAAACAAGAAGAATACAAAATGGCTTGAGAAACAAATATGTAGATGGTATCATATGCAACTTCAAATTATTATGTGCTAAAGGGAGTTCAACTGCATTAGTGAATTCTATGCTTTAAAAGGAAAATGTCAAAACAAAACTAGCTTGCTACATCCTCCCAAAACAATGTGCAGTAGTTGCAGAAAACGAATTATCACATCACACTCACATAGAGGTGGGCTTTTAAGGTAGGTTGACAGCTTGCAGAAAAATAGTCAAATATCAATGAATCATCCAAAGATGCAGAGGTTTCATATAGACAACCCCCCCCCCCTCTCCCCGCCCCCACACACACACAAAAAAAAAAAAAATAAA